ATTCTCTTCAAGTGAACTTGTGTCAGGCTTTTGTGGCCACTGCTCTTCAGGTAATGTCAGGAAGTTCGGTCCACTCCACCATTCATCGCTAGCTGAAAGCTCGGAAGCATTCATTCCTCTCGAAGGCAAATCAGCAGGATTCGCATCAGTTGGGCAGTGAGCTCCAGCTAGTGGGACCAACAAGGCTTCTTATCTCCACAACTCTATTCTGAACGAACTGTTTCCACTGTTTCTGTTCCCCTAGGATCCAATAGAGAACTGCCGTAGAATCCACCCAGCAATGAACTCTGACTATCTTCACAACTTCTGAGAGAGCAGCAGCCACGTGACTTATCAACCCTTTCTAGAATTAACGCGCCAAGTAACTCAAGTCTTGGAATCGTCTGACCACCAAGAGGTGCCACTCTGGTTTTCGAAGTAATCAGCACTGATCGTACATTGTTCCCTCGTTCAATTCTAAGGTACACGGCTGCTGCATACGCGTACGAGGACGCGTCGCTAAATCCATGAAGCTGCAGAGACGAGGGCAGTGACTCATCCTTACTAAAGTAGCACCTCGGAATTCTTACACTGCCAACGTTCTTTAACTCTGTGATCCACTTCTCATATCGCTGCTTTAGATCTAAACTAAGTTCCTCGTCCCAGTCTCCTTTAGTCTGACATATCTTCTGAAATAGCAGCTTCATCTCGATCAATACCGGTGATATCCAACCCAGAGGGTCGTAAACTTGTGCAGTCAACTTAAGCACTGTTCGTTTAGTCACAGGCAGGTTTTGTGACGACTTGATGATTTGACTCAGATCAATTATTAGCTCATCGCTGTCATGATCCCACGTGATTCCGAGGACCTTGTGCTCTCTTTCTTCATTGACTTCATGATCAGTTCCTAGTGTTGTGGTAGCGTAGGTCCTGTCATCTTCTTTCAACTTCTTCGGTTCAAGGTTAACTTCTTCTTCTCTGTAATCGGCGGACTTAATCTTATCAACAAGTTCTCTGGAATTGGACGACCACTTCCTCATATTAAATCCAGCCTCTAGCATCCTTAACTTCGTCTTCAAAAACAGCTTGTACGTTTCATTGACGGTCTGCCCTCCAGTAGTAAGGTCATCCACGTACAAGGCCTTCAAAATCTTCTTCACGAACTCAGGGTCACTAACTGCATATTTGTTTAGGTGGTACTTTAGGGTGGCGTTCAGCAGAAAAGGACTGGAGGATACTCCAAACACCAACCGGGTAAACCTCTTTACTTCTACCTTCGGCTCTTTAGCAAACGGATCTTGCACCCACAAAAATCGCAAAGCGTCTCGGTCAGCTGCATCAACTCCCACCATTAGGAAAGCCTTCTCGATGTCTCCAACAAGGGCAAACTTAAAACAACGGAATCTCATCATAATGTCCATCAGCAATGGGGACAAAGGCGGTCCAGGATAAACACAATCGTTCAGAGATGGGCCGTTCCTCTTTGAAGAAGCATCAAAGACTATGCGAAGTTTCGTGGTCTGCTTGTCTGATCGTACGACTTCGCGGTGAGGCAAATAGTGTACCTTTCCAGGGGGCTCTACACCGACATTCTCTATGATACCCTTAGACTCTTGGTCTCTAATAACACTGTCGTACTCGCGGAGGACCGCTGGGGTTTTTCTCAAACGTGTGATCAACGAGGCCAAACGAGAATAACTCAAGCTGTAATTGTCTGGTAAGGCAGGGTGCATGTTCTTCCACGGGAGTGACACTTCATAACGACCCTCCTTCATTTGAACCTTGTTTAGGAACTGTTTGTACACCTCGTCTTCACTTTCTGGCATCACTCCTAAAGCCTCAAGGTCCCAGAACTTCGATAGTTCCTGTTGTAAAGGGCAGTTCATTTTCACTTCTTCGGCATCTAATCTGAGCACGTGAGTACTGGTCAGATTAACAGAGGATTCAACCAATGGTGGCCGTGGTTCGTGAACGGGACCTGATAAGACCCCCCCCAAATGTGACTTTATGGCGACTGGTCCACCACGTCTTCCTCTTTGCGTCTCTCCGGTCATGAACTGCCAATAAAAATCGCTTCCAATCAGAATATCAATCGCCATTTCAGCTCCACCCATCGAGCTGTCTGCTAACTCCAGCGAAGAGAGGTGCTCATATGAACTTTTCGCGAATTCGATCTTTTGTTGAGACAACGGGGCGCAAATACTAGGTACCGAGTAACCCTCCACATACAAGTTCAGTCCTCCACCTCCCAGTCTAGTAACACAAAACTGCACAACATCATATTGGCTCGGCTCTTCAGTGTCTCCACCAAACTTTTTAATCAACAGGTTTTCCGCTCTTAAACTGGGGAGGTCGAGAGCCTTTCTTAACCGACTTGAAACGTACGTTCTCTGGGAACCACTGTCGAAAATTAATCTTGCTTGCACTAGCTTCATACTTGTGGGATTTGAAACAATTGCCGTCGCGGTTTGTAGAAGAACAGAGTTCTTAGCATTCACGTAAAGGGTTGAGGTAGTTCCTGGATCTTGACTCGTGTTTCCTCGCTGCAAACGAGGGCTGGGTTGCGTGACATTTCCGTTTCCGGAGGGCGGTATCTGAAAGGTGGCTGAGCAAACACTTACATGATGCCTTCCACAACATTTAAAACATCTGTACTCTAATGGACATGAACTGGCGACGTGTCCCCTCTTAAGACACACAAAACATCGACCTTTCCTTTTGAGGATTTCTTTCCTTTTCACTGGATCAGTCACTGTAACGCAGTTAAACGACTTGTGACCTGGGTGGTTGCAAAAGAAACAACTCATTTTGAGCTGTTCGCTCAAATGCAGTGCAGCTGCTGTAATTGGCTCTGGTAACTTGTTTTGTTTGGACAATGGTTTTTCCACAACATTACTGGATCCTCCCACGAATCTGCTTTTCTCGCGCGCTTCCAATTCTTCTTTGAACGCGTCTAGTAGTTCATTTATGTCCCAGGTATCCGATTTCATCTTACGGCTTATAACAAGTCGAAACTCTTCGGGAATTTTCTCCATCATAACCGGGATCAAAAGGCTTCCATACATCTCAGATTTTATTCCCAGGGCTTGTAAACTGCGGACATTAATTTCAATCTTGTCGTAAACATCGCGCACACGCTTGATATCTGACGCCAAAGTCACTCGCGGGAGCTTCAACAACGAATCCATGTGCGAACTGATAATGACTTGTTTGTTTCCATACCTTTCGCGCAAGAGATCAACAGCGATTTTATAATTCTCTTTCGTTAAGGCAAGTCCAGTTATCGTCGCAGCAGCAGGGCCTTCCAGATACGAACGTAAATAGTTCAGCTTTTCGATGTCATTCAGCGATTCATTGCTGTGAATAGCGGCGTCAAAACTATCCCAAAACGATTGATACTCGGCGTGGTTTCCTCCAAATTTCTTGATCACCAATTTCGGCAGTTTCACGGTTTGTGCGATCTGTTTCGTATCCTTTTTCTTTGCACTCGATTTTTTCGACGAACTGACACTTGTAGCCGCGTACAGAGATCCACCTTCATCTTCGCTTTCGCTGCTTGAACGATCAGATCTGATCACAAGCTCGATGTTGACAATACGCTCCTGTATGTCTCCTTTCAGATCACTCGTTTCCTCGATCTCCTTGTCTATTTCGTCGTCTTCGACTTGATCCAAAATACTTGTATTAAGCTCGCTAAGTACACCAAGTTTATCGTTAAGGACATCGCGGAATGCCTTCAACTTTCCTTTCTTTGAAGCGTTGTAATCTTGCAGCAAGTCATCCACAGATTTCAAAGTCTTCAAAACATATGTTCGGTGGGCCGCGCGCTTTCTTCTTAATCTGGACAGATCTTCCATGATTATTCGCTCAACTTCACCCGGCTCGAACGGACCATGTAGATAATCGTATTCAAACCTTGTTCAATCATCAACCAATAAAATCTTCTTTAATAAATCGGTTTCAAAACAAGATCATACATTTACTCCGATCCGAAAAACTAGGTCCTATCTATCTGATCAATAACACGAGGTCTGTCTGTCAAATTCGAATCACGTGATAAAACTATTGTTCCGATTTCTACAGTGGCTGTTCCAAAATCGTGTAATGAATTGAATTTGATTGTGACATTTTTAAGCTTAATCAAAAACCACTGAGTACAAAATGTGTTTTTATCAGCCACAGCTATAGCTTATTTCAAAGTGCTTTTTCTATTCCGATTATAATCCTCTCCATTTATAACCCCTTCTGAAACCCTTTACGAAGATACATATGCGCAGGACTTATAAGCAGCAGCTTATGGTAAACTGTAGTGGCTAGATGATGTTCTCAAACCTCAAAACAGTATGTAAACAAGTAAGTAAATTTTTTTCACTCTTCTGTGAACTGCCTCAGTAAGATTTCTGTATTACCCCATACATTTATTATACTTTCAACAATTTCATGCTTTTTCTTGCAAGTAGTTTAATATGCACAGAGTTGAAACATGTACATGCATAATAAATATGTGAGGTTATACAGAGAACTTACCACTGCCTCTTCAGTACATCAATAGCAGCAAAGACAACTTTACACATTTCCATCCAAAATTAATAGTTGCCAATTATGTGTAAGAGGCTATTGTTAGGGATGTATCTTAAGTTATGGTTTGGACAGCATACAGGCCAAACAGGCATCTGCTTTTTATGGTTGAAAGGTAGCTGAAGCTAGGCACAACTCTTTCATTTATAAAATGAAAGTATAACAACAACACCAGAGGCAAAAAATATAATTCGGTACAAAAGAAGTTTGCAGCAAATAGCACATTCTTTAATACACAGATCTATTGAAAAGTATTTCACTATAAAAAATTGCGATAAAACATTTCTTAAAATCATTTTAAGATTAAAAAAATTGCTAAAAAGCGACGACGTTTCGACGTTAGCTGAACGTCATTATCAAGTCAAAATAAGTTAGTGATTTTTGGTCTATAAATACTAAAAAAAACAACAATAGCTGATTAAAAATTGTAACGTGAGAAAATATTAAACAAAGAGTTTCGCACGTATGGAGTCCGTCTGAATATTTAAATTGGGCTTAAGTTTCTTGATGAAGAGCATTTCAAATACTAAACAATCAAATTTGCTCTGGCACTTTCTTAAAACCGTGAATTGGCTTTCTCTCAAAAGGTTGTTGTTACCGTGAGCTTCTAAGAAATGTCTACCGATTGCCGAATTTTTGTGCTCAGCAATGCGTTGATGAAGGTGTCGGGCTGTGTACCCGACATAATCTGCATCGCACAGATCACATGAAAAATTGTAAACAACACACTGCTTATTAACAATTGACGGCTTGATTTCTTTGGGTCTGAGGTCTTGCCCCAATTTCTTGCTCACGAAAACTGGTTGCAAAGTAGGGCCAATCTTATGGCTAAGATCGCGTAACTGCTTACGAACCGCATTAGCGGCCACTTGATCTTTAAAAGGAAGACTAATTCTTACTATGCTACTATCATCATTGTTTCTTTCTGCTTTGTTCGCTGAGGAATTTAGAAAAAGAAACTTTTTTTTTTTAAACAGTAAATTACGAAGTGACATCAATGTTTACATGAATGGAACTTGCGCCATTTTACAAACAACAAAGGAAGTACTGCCAGAGCACCTTTCTAATAAGGATCACCGTCTTCTCTAAGGATCTGTAGACTAAAGGAAAGTTAGAAACGTGAGTTACCTTTTATTTCAATGGCTTGACAAAGCAACTAAGGTACTTGCGTGCAACTCGCGCAAGCCTAGATCGAGAATCTTGAGTAACAACACAAAACGAACGACAAAAAACTCCAAGGAAGGAGTGTTCTACAATTAAACAAAGAATGGTACATTCGACTTACCTTTCTTTAACAGCTAGTGATTCCAGAAACCAAATCAACTACAGAGTGTAATTTTTAGCTCATTCGGGACGTTTCGAGTGGCATCACGAAACCGTCCCTTTTGTCATACCCTTCACAAAAATTACACGAGCATTAGGAAAAACAAGTTCAATGCATCCCTGACCAAAAGGGTGAATAGACTAATCGTCCTTTGAAACGTAGCGGATCTGTGATAGCCGCGAATTTCTAACAGCACATTTTCGCCATGTTGCTCTGACTTGTTCAAGCGTCTGAGCCGATGATGACGTCACGAAAATCTTGATATATTAGTTTGAATCGCAATACATTGTGGGAAGACGTTCACTCCTCCTCTGGGTTGATTGACAATATGACATGTTGGTAGTTTAACGTCATAACGACGTTTAACCAGTGTTGCATAATTTTTTTACTTTAAAGTAGCAATAAAGCCAAAAATTGTTATTATAAATAGTAGGGTGCCTGATAAAATCACCCCGCCTTAAAAACGAAAAATTGTGCTAAATGCCTCTTTCAAGGCACGTGCGAGCCTTGATTACTGATGCGCTTCGTGAATGCAGTGGATGTGAATATAATTCCAAGGGGTCGTTTTGCCCGCGGGGGCAGATCTAAAAATAAATAAAGAAATCGGTCACAGCTTATTTGCCGGATGTCGCAACACCAAGTATAGAAACCGAACCCCGGCGGGAGAATTTCGTATTATGAAAATTTGCTGCGCGTTTTTTAGATCATCGTGGCTGCTGACTATTGAGGAAAAAAAGAAAATGTCTCTTCTTGACAGGTATCCGTGTGACAATACCACAGCGCCGACATATTTATCTTTCTCAACGGCCTCTTGCTCCTCACTCATTGCATTCATCGCGAGTGTTAGAAACTTCCTTGTGATTCTTTCTGTTATCCTGAACCCCTGCAAGGACCTGCGATCGCCTTTCAGCTACTTTGAAGCCAATCTGAGCTTTGCGGATCTTGTTGTTGGACTAATCGTTGCTCCCCTGAGCGTAGCCTACCATGTTATGGAGGAAGTCAGTCTCCGGAATCAGTACCTAGAAGATACGCTGCATGTAGGTTTTTTAAATCTCCTGCACCGCTTCAACCCTGAGCCTGGCAGCCTTGGCAGTAGATCGGTACGCGGCCATTACGCACCCCCTATTTTACAGAAGCAAGCTCAATTCGGTTCGAACATTCTTAGCGTCTCTTGTTGTTTGGATCATCTCCATTTCATTATCAGTCTTCTACTTTGTAGTAGGTTACAACAAGTTGTGTTTCATCTTCGCGAATACTGCCGTCGCTGTGACATTTTTTGTACTACTTTTTACTAACTCAAAAATTTTCAACTTCCTCCGCGTACAATTAATTGAATGGGACAACCTCCATAACACTACCGAGGAAAACTTGGCGAAGAAACGAGCGATCAAGTGGGAGAAAAAGATCACAAAGACACTTGTTATTGTATTGCTGTTATTTTTAGCTTGTTATTTACCATGGTGCATTTGTATCTATATCATCAATTTTTGCGCTAACTGCCATTGTGTAATTATTCACTGGGTCAGAGACATTCAGTTTGTTCTCGTGATGACAAATTCGGCAGTAAATCCTTTCGTGTATGCATTAAGGTTAGAGAACTTCCGTAAAGCCTTTAGGAGTATCTTGACGTGTCGTGCATGCCTTCGTCGTCTACGGTCCATCTCAATAAATCTGACACAATTATCTACATTAAGCACTGATGAGCCATCGAATACTAATGCTGGTGGAGGACAAGCAGACGTCTGTTGAATATACAGAGAAAATAAAAACTGTTAAAGATGATTGACCTAAGACTATGCCTCTAGAACTGCGGCTCAGGAAGTTGTTTTGTTCTCTATCTATGTAGCCCGATTTGTTCACCAAAGTTGAAGTTTGGATATTGAATTTTTACCTCCGGGAGGAGAACAACATTAATCTCACAGTTCTCAATTTACTTCTTCTTGTAAAATAAAAACGAAAAGCAAACAAAGAAACAACAACAACAATAACAAAGAAAAACATAAAAAAGAAAATAAATAAATGAATAAATAATAATATGACATAGCTCAATTATAAACAAATAAAAAAGAACAAAAAACGGGGAAATGTCTTAAAGATAATACATTTCTGATGCCACACGATACGATATTAGGCTTTTTTCTTAACCCTTCCCTTCTAGTAATACTTTTCATTTTTGTTGGCATCTGAATTTTGTTTTACCTGTCAATCAGCGTCGATTTCTGATCCAAGGATTGATGATTGAACTGTTTTTACAACGTAGAGCCTTACAGCCCCACTCATTGCTCTACGTGTGCGTGGAAGACCGTGGTCATGTAGTTCTGAGCTCCGCAGGAGTACTTACAATTGGAACGAAACATGGCTCAAGACAGCACACACCTTAAAGAAGTAACTTTTTATGACATCTTTACCTTTCATACAATTTATATAACAGGCGCGGATCTAGGGGGAGGGTGCAGGGGGTGCGCCCCCCCCCCAAAAAAAAAAAAAAAAAAACTATGTGGTTCATTGGTGTTGAAGTAGAGCAAGAGACGAGTGCACCCCCTCCTAAAAAAAATCCTGGATGCGCCCCTGTATAAATAACTTGTGTTAACTTGTCAATTGAATATCATTTGGAGTGCGCATTTTGTTTTATATAGACACTGCCCACCTAGACTAGCCTTAGCTATTTGTGGGCAGTAATAAAATAAAATTATAAATCTGAATTAACCAATAAAATGAAATGAAGTCTTCCCCCTCAATCCTAATTCCAAAAAAACAAAAAATAAACATAAAACAAACAAACAAATTATAAAGATACATCGAAGGTTTGGAATGCGCTGATTGAAGCAAATATCTGACAGCATTAACCAATAAAAGGTCAAGAAGGATGGTTAAAAATACCTCGACCGGAAGTATTCTAAAATGTGCTGCGTTTAAGGCTCGCTTAATATTCAACATTTGTCATATTCAAAGCTACATGTACGAGGCCTCCGCTGGTTAGAAAATGTCGCTCACTGGAGAATATCCCTGTAGCAGTGTGACAGCTCCGACATATTTGCCCTTCTTGACTACTTCCTGTTCTACTCTGATCACGATCGTTGCTTTCTTGGGAAACTTCCTTGTGATTCTCGCCGTTTTCCTGAACCCCAACAAGGACCTGCGATCACCGTTCAACTACCTTGTAGTCAATCTGAGTCTGGCAGATCTTATTGTTGGTCTCATAACTGCTCCTCTCGGTATAGCTTTTCATTTTTTTGAGGGTTTTGGAATCCCTAATCAACCCCTTAGAAAAACGATGCATGTTTCATTTTTCATTTCCTGCACTGCTTCGCTTCTGAGCCTTTCAGCCCTGGCGTTAGATCGTTACGTCGCTATTACATATCCTCTATTTTACAGATCTAAGCTCAACGCAAAACGAAGTTTATTAGTTTCTGCTGGTGTCTAGACCTTGTCTGTTTTATTATCGATGATTTACTTCGCAGTAGGCTACGAAAAGTTTCGGTTCGTCTTCGCCAACACTGCAGTCGTCGTGACGTTCCAGGTGTTGCTTTTCACCAACTCGAAAATTTTCAAGTTCTTGCGAGCTCAAGTTAGACAATGGGACATGCATGCATGCATGAGGCGTCTAAGGTCAATTTCGGTGAACTTGCATCAAATATCGACGTCAAGTGCTGAAGGAACTTCAGACACTACCACCGCAGAAGTACAGAATGAATTGATATTGGTTGACTGAGAGAATAGAACTTTTCTAGGAACTGAATCGGCAAAACTTGTAGTAGAACTTCACTTGACTCCAGTGATAATTAAGAAATGGTATGTCCCGCTAAATTAGAAACTTACAAATCCTGTATAAATCATCAACAATTATTCCTCGCGCAAAATGTCTGCTCACATTATATGCTAAACCATAGAATAAGAGGTTTATTATTCAACTACAAAAAAACTTGTTATTTTGCAATTGGTTTCAATTTTTTTGGAAAGAGTCAGTTCGGAAACATCCTGATTCCGTCTGTGAGAATGACGTTAACAGGAAGCAAAATGTTCGCGTGTGTTAAATGCCAAACCATTGAATGAGAGGTTAATTATTTTATTGCGAAAAATGTTATTTTTGCTCCTATTTTCTAGTAAGAGTATCCAAAACATCCTGATTCTGTCAGCCATAGTTGCTCCTTTTGCATCCGCCGTTATTCGCCCTGTTGTAAACCGTATTTTGCGCTTTCTCTTGACCTTGTATGGTAAAATAACATAATAGTGGCCTAATAAAGAAAGGTATATTTTATATTTATCAAACTGATTCATATTGTTAATTTAGTGGCTCACCAGAACGTTCCATTTACATGTTTCAGAAACCCAATAAACAACAATTTGAAGACGTGTTTCGCGTTTCTTCTTTTACGCCAGCGGACAGACAGACAGCTAGGTATAACGATTAAGTCGCAATTAAGTCGCAGTACCGGCGAAGAGGTTTAAGATTACATTTTACGCACATCAATCTGATTCCAAAGCTTAATAGTCCGGTAGTAAAAAGTTCTTTGTCCGGGGACTGTTTTTTAGCGTTTTGCTATAAAATATAACTGTCTGGACAAACGCGCTGAAGCGCTTGCTACGCAGGCTTGTACCGAAAGGAAAGGTTATCCGTTATAGTAGGTATAAACACGTACGTGTATCCGATATGTGACTCACCACTTTATCGATCGGCACCCGTTACAGATGATTGGCCGAAATCGCCGTTCTTAGAACAGAAGCCCTATCGGGCATGGTTCAGTGTGTTGGAGTTCATTTTGGTCCCAGCCGAAGAGACCTTGGTGGTTTGCTTCTCAGGAGCGCCTATTATATCATGACACTTTGGGTGGTTTGACTCTATGTAAAATAGACGAAAACAGGAGCCCATTATGGGCTCCTGACGAAAATTAAATGGTATGCCATCATTAAAGGTGCGGTCCTCGTAATGAAGGTGTATAAACAGGTTACCCGCAGAACGGCCTACTCAGTAAACTTTTCCAAACAAAAATTTTGAGGTGAGCTTTTAAAAATTAAGGTAATTTTGAATTGTAGTAATGATAGATTGTTGTATTACTTATCGGTCCTCGCAACCTCTATGAAGAACAAGCCAGATTTTTGGTCCTCGTAAACCAGTGTGTGTATGAGGCAAAACATTTAGAAGGGCGTTGTCGCTAATATCACGGTGGATTATTAAAAGATTAATGTCAAAGTTACAAACTGACAATAGAGGAGGTCAATAGCGAACGGATTTTAGGTGGTCCCCGTAGAGTCGGTTTGAGAACCGGTACCCACAAACCACCAAAGGTGGGTATATATGTGTGTGTGTGTGTGCAAGTTTCTCTTCTCAGTCGATTCGTCTTGGTGGAGTATTGTATGGATTTTAATAAATTCATACATAAAATACATAATTTGTCTTGTATCACTCTTTGGTTAGTTTTACTTGTATGTTGTTTTTTTTTATTTTTTTTTTATTTTTATTTTTTATTTTTTGGGCGTAAAGTTACGAGAGGTTGTGATAATTTTCAATATTGAATATTGCAAGAAGGGGGAGAGCTTCCATTAAGTAAAAATAGATCATTATAATTGGATCTTTGTTGGCAATATTTGAATTTCGTATAAATATTTATTTTAATGAAATTGACAAGCTATTAATCGGAAAACCAGCGCCTGCGTTCTTCTAGTAATAAATATGGGGAAGAGGTGGAAATACAAATTTTCTTATATCAGGCATGAAAACGTTTGACCAATATTAACTCTTTGCATGACTCATAACGCTGATAACTGATTGAGACTTTATAGTTAATTCATTTAATTTTCAAAAGTGTAAAATCGAGGCGTTGAAATTAACGTTTTTTAACATATTAGTATTAGTTATTTTAAAACTTATGAAGACTTTGAAGTCAATTAAGTAATCTATTAAGACTTGAAGATTACTTAATAAACATTGTAAATGGTAGTCTATTAAGACTTTGAAGTCAAGTTATTGAACATTGTAAATGGTAATCTATAAGACTTTGAAGTCAAGTTATTGAACATTGTAAATGGTAATCTATTAAGACTTTGAAGTTAACTGTGTTATTTGTGTGAGAATCA